TCCAGGTGTCCTGTAGGAGCACGCAGGGCTCCCACAGATTCCACTGTTCCTGGACATGTCTTTTTTCACCCAGCTCCAAATTAGATGACAGTTGCCCTTCCTTAGTGAAATAGAAGGAATCTTCAAGAACAAACTTGCTCTTGCTTTCCACTTATAAATGTCTGTTGACCCTCTTCTCCTGTTGCCCTGCATGAGCCATACCCGAGCCTTCTGTAAGCTGACTTGTATTACTGGAAAGTGTGGGCCTTTGTGAATGACTGGGACACACACTGTCGCTTTAATGACATAGAAATAATATAAATTGTTCCTGAGTCTCCTTTTACTTGATTTGCCTGATTTAGTTTTCCCAGCCTCTTCCCCTGCTGTTCTGACATGATCTCAGAGACCATTGGATTACAGTGGCTTCAGTGGGGCATCAGGCTGGCCAATATACTTTGGATTTATGGATTCAAGTCCCCACATATATGCTCTGTAGCTCAGGCTGATAAACTTCTGAAACTTAATGTACGCTAAGATGGGGAAGTCTAAAAGGCATGAAAACAGAATTATGTTGAAATTAAAGGGCTCTTTGGATCAAACGTGAAGCACTAAGTTATAGGTTTGAACAGCCTATAGGATGTGGTAAGGCATTTTATATTTTCGGAAGGAACTGTGGATAAGAGTGTATCTGGTTTCTGAGCGAGTTTGAGATTTTCCAGGAGTAGAATTGCGTAAGCACAATTAGAGAGATGGACAGCTATACTGGAGACCACAGTAAATGCTATTTTGAGGCCCCAGCCAGTGTCATGGAGTTTATAAACATCATTTGTCAGAAATAATAAGGAAACATTTTACGTCTAAATTGCTATGGGAAACCCCCAGTATTCTTCAGGTTTCATCTCATTCCAGTTTCTCAACCTGGATCTGATTCAAGACCTTTGAAGTTCCCATGTCTGGATTTCAAAGGAAATGAGCTGTAACCGGGTACAGATAGCAAGATCTAGATCCAGTCTTCTGAAACACTAAGCTCCTACAAACAAATCAGGTACCACAGAGCCAGCCCCCATCCCAGTCTTCTTTCCCCCTGCTCATGCTTTTAATGGAGTACAGAAAACAATTATTTGGGCGCTCTGCTTATTTCCGCCCTCATGGTGTTGCTTATTGTTTTACCCAGACCAGGTCAGATCCCGTCCCATCTATGTCAACAGCCCATTTACTTAAAACTTCCTTTGCAGGTCAGACAAAATTGAGCTTGCAGCCTGCAGGAGAGAGCAGGCTAGAAGAAAGGACAGAGCCAGGACACCAGTCAAAGGCAGAGCCCAGAGGTGCAGAGCCCAGTGTTCCTGATGCTGCCAGGGCATGGACCAACTTTTGCTATCACTCTGTTAGCTGCTGCCTCTCTGCAGTGCCAGGTCCTCCCTCAGCAGCAGCAACAGACAGCTTGCTTCCAGGCTTGGAAAGGTGGAAAGTAAGCAATAGGGCCATGAATGGCTTTGTTAGGCCAGGCTCTTGGCTGTCCTGGGAAATCAATTGTTTTGTTTATGCTTGATCTGGTCCTCTTTGGGCCCGGAAGTTGATGGAGTACAGAGCTTGGCCTTCATTGCTCTAATTACTCAGCTGTGGATCAGTGTTACCTAATTAAGTTTTCAGAGGTCCTGTGCCACAGCAGTCCAGCTGAGACCAAGCTGTTCCTAAACATCTCAGGTCAAACACCAGAAATCACTAGTTACAAATACTGAAAATCCGGTTTGGTCCAAAGCATGTATTTTTTCTCTTTTCTTGGTTTCCTGGGGTTATTTCAATAAGGGTCCTAGGAAATGCCTCACACATCTCTATTTTTAACTGCTGTATAAGCCAGCTTGCTGTGTACCTCAAAAGCTTTCTCAGGAAGGCAAACAAAGCAGCCATTGCACTAGGGCTGTGCTCATTAAAAATAATCCCTTCTCTTCAAGAAGAAACCAGAGCATTGCCTAGGAAAGGCAACTGGGGTGCCAGCTTTTGCTTTTCTCTACTCTTTTTATCCCCTTTTTCTGGAGTGCCTGTTTTCTTTCCATAATTCCTTACAAGCAGACTTCAGCTTCCATGTGCTTGCACCAGGGATGGAAAAGCAGCTGATAGGTGAAGGGGATTGATTGCAAGGTTCCTGGTTTGCATCGCTCAGGACCACAAGAGGTCAGACTAAAACTCCGATTCGGTTCTAATGCTGAGCAGTTTACTTCAGACTGACTTCTGTCATTGCAACAGAAAGTGCAAAACGCTTGCAGGACATTGACTGCATTCCTTGTGTTCCTGGAGGCTGCATCCTTCCACAGTATTTTCTAGCTCCTTGTGTTATACACTAAGGCCTCTGGTTTTGTCTCATGCTCTTAGGGAGCTGGTGGGACCGGTTTGAAGATTTTCCTGATAATCAGCCTGGAATTACCCTTTCCTTTCATCCCTTCATTCATATCATACTTCTCTTGTGACATCTCTGGTATGAGCATAAGGAAGAGTATATTTTTGAAGGGGAAGAACTTGGCTTGCACAAAGTAACTCTGACAAGTTACATAAGGCTTGTGGAAGTGGCCAGTTTTCACAACACTAATGACCCTTTTCCAACAGATGATTTTCAGGGTGAGCATGCAGAGGGGTCAGGTGCTTGCTCCTATAACAACTGTGAATGCCTAGATGATGAAGTGTGTAATGTAGCCTCCAGTAGTGCAAGAAATAAAGGGTTATAAATCCTGAGTCTTTCAAACCAACCTCACTTCTCCCTCAGCTTTCTCCTCTCCATTGTGCAGTGCAATGGGAACTGTAGTATTTCTGCTGCATAGCACCAGGGACTATCCCACCTGTAGCCCGCAGACTGTATCTAGCCAGCAGGACAATTTGGGATAGGTGAGGTGTGATGGTTCAGGAAGTCTTACAGCCATTGAACACCTTTTAATTCCTTGCGCTTCTAGTTACTCTGGCCCATTACAGGCTCCCATGTTCATGTGGAAGAAGGAAGTTGCCACAACAGGAATGTGGTGGTAGTAAAAGCTGGCCAATGCCCTGTGTGAGCTCAGCAGCTCTGTCTTGTGGGATCACCGCTGTGTTCTACTATAGCTGAAGATGCTGAGCAGATTGGAGGTAAGGGGGTAAAACTGGTGCAGGGTGGAACAAAATCCATTTTCAGGAGAATGGTAGACAAAAGGGCACAACAGAAGTAGCACAGAAAATAGAACTTGAAGCAACAAAAGTCAGTAGCTTATCTAGCAGAGTTAAAGCTTGAGCAGCAAAGTGTTGCTTTAGTCGTAGGCTGGGGGCTCATGTGCTCTGAGTCTGCAGACATAAGATGGATAGAGGAAAACTGGCAGCAGAACAGACTTTCTTCTGCCATATTAGGTCAGCACGCTTCATCCTTGACTACAAAGGATGCCTGAGGAGTAACAGGGTAGTTCACACACGCAGCCTGCTCAGTCTTGAATTGCCAGCTGACTGGCAGTCAAAACAACCAGTGCCACTGAGAGCCACGTGTAACTGTCCTGGATGATCTCCGCTTTGGTACGAACTGAGATTAGTTTATAGGACTATAGCACATAGACCGGAAAATGTATTTGATGACCTGCAGTGGAAGTGAGCCATTAATTTGGAGGTGATTTACTCCATGCTCCTTTTACCAGTCATGTTTCTTGGGCATCGTAATTGAATCTTAAAGTAGTAGTGAACGCCATGCCAATATACCATTTGGCTCCTCATGTGTCTTGGTGTCAGCCAGGAGGCAATAGGACCAGTAATGACTAAATCCTGACTTTCCCAGGATCACACTTGCAAAGAGCCATAATATCCAACCTTTAACTGCTCCCTATGTGAGCTAGACCACAGAAACCAGCTGGAGTCCCAGCTACTCTCGTGTGTCACCAGACCACCTCATTAGCCCTGTGACTCGTTAAACACAATTCTGTCGAACTTTGTTCTCCAGCCTGCCATTATTCAGATACTAACTGAACAAGCTCCCACTGGCTCCCTTGGGGATCATTACATCTCTCTGCATTTATGCTGTGGCAGCAAAAGTTTAAGCCTGGATTGTAATCATAAAGAAATTAACTTGCTGATTAAAAGTGGTCCTTTAAGCAACACGCATTTGAATAATCCATCATAAAAACAAATGAGTCTGTAGCAGTGCTTTTGACTTGATAATCTTTTTTTCTGTTTAAAATTTAAATCAGCTGCATTTTTTTTTTCTCTGAGTCTGTAGCCTATAGAAAAATAACAATGAATTACTAAAAAGAAGGCAATAGTTCGAACTGCAGTCATGGTGTGGAATATATATTTTAGATCTGTCACTGCAAGATAGATTTGTGCATTATGGACCCAATTTTTTGACTGTAATACCCTCCAGGCAATTCCACTGATGTTAGTTGTGTTACACAAAAAGTAAGTTAATGCAGAAAATTTTGCTCCAGATATCTGCAAAGTGCTTGGAAGATAAAAGACCTGCATATGACAGAGCCGATATAGCTCTTGTTGAAATCTGTAGCAAAAGTCCTGTTTAATTCAACAAGAGCTGCTAAATCAGGTCTGATGAATGCTGCAGAGCTGTATTTACAAGTAAACATCTGGAGATAATGACAGTTCGGTCATTTTAAATATTGCATATCTCTTCCTACCAGTAGGTGCAAAGCGAGCCATTAACAGTTCACAATAGGTGCCTACTTTTAAACAGAGTCACTCCATTTGTGGCTGCTAGCTGTACTGGTTGTGTGATGAATACAAGAAGTAAAAGAAGATTTTTGTGGCTGGAGAAGGATGCAAAAGGACACCTCTAACTTTTATCAGAATAGGTGACACTGTTCCTGATGCTAAAGCAAAGCAAATTCAAATCTCCTTGCTTCATCACTTTCCCCCATCACAGTTCCACTTTTCTAGATGTTTGTACAGTCTGCAGTAATTCACATCTCTCATCCCCAGCCCGTTCCACAAGCCCTCCATGTCTGTATCTTTTTTAAATCAGCCTCTATCAGTACTGGTGTCAGCATTATCAACCTGATATTCCTCACCTTTTGGTCCAGGTAAAATTGTGTGTGTCGAGCAGACATCTGTTGTAGGTCGATTGTCAACATCAAAACCCAAAATCTGAACTTGGAAGATAAAAAGCACTACTAGGGTCCCGAATTTCCTTAGCTGTTGTTCTTTCTTGCTGCTCATCCTTGCAGATTCCCAGGAAATGCCTTTCGTTGTTACAGTCTTAACAAATGCAGCTGACTCAAAAATAAATGCTCCACTAACTGAAGCAGTGGAAAGATTGGGAGCTACGTGCAAGAACAGCTAAATAAAGTGAAGAAAGGAGTTCGACCATGCTGCAGTTATTTCTGTCCTGCACATTATCCAGGATATTTATTTAACTGTGACAGCTGTTTATTCCAATGTATCTCTTATCTGTGAGAGTTTAGCCGCTTTTGCCATGGAAAATGTCTTCAATATATGGGAATATCTGTTTTGTCTTTTGTTTTCCTTTCGGCACCAACTCTTCATGCCCAGTTTTTCATTTACTCAAGAGACAAAAAACTTCGGTATTGTATCCAAGCGCGTATTAATGAGTTATAGGACACTTGTGGCTGGCTGTGTGCTGGAAGAACAATGCAGACTCCATGTAACATGTAGAGAGACTTTTCCACAAAAGCTTTCCTCCAACGAGACTGTTGGTGACAGCAGATGAGCTGCCAGTCTGCTACGGCTGGAAGTCACTGATGCTATTTTGCACTTTTTGGGTGCCGCGTACCCATACATTTGCTAGTCCCCAGACTAGCAAATGAAAAGTTGATGTCATTTGGTGTTTTAGCCAGAAACCCATAAATTATGATTTTATGCTGCTTACAGATTGCTCCATAATGGCTGCTGCAAGCCCAGATTGTGTTAATAGACACAGTACCTAAGGACCGACTTCAGGATTGAAGCCACAGAGCAGGATGAGCTTGAACCACTGCAGGACCTCCTCCCATACATGTTTCCCCTGTACTGCACATGGGGGAGGCCTTGTATCAGGACAGTGGTGTAGCATAGGTCCCAGCAGAATGTCATCTTTGGGTTGTTCAGGAAGCTGCTGCTGGTTCACATCCCAGGAGGTAGCTGTCTGGTTTTCAGCTGGGTGCTGGGACTTCGAAGCTAGGTGTGAGAAGAGATCTCACGGATGATGGAACAGGTAGCATACAAAACTGCTATATACTCCCTTGGAAGCAGCTGTGACAGATATCCGTCTGTGAGGAATCATTTCCTAGAAAAAGCTCTAGCTTTCATTTTGGGAGAGCACAGTACCCAGGGACAGCAGATCATTCAAGGTGTACAGGCAGAAAAGAAAGGGGAGATGAGTACGTGTAGTCTTTCCAGAAATTTCTTAAACTTCTTCTTTCTCACAGAATGAAGGAGATGGCTTCAAAATTTGAAAGCTGAACTATGCTTTTGAACTGTCTTGTGTGTGAGAGCAGGTTTGCTTTGCTTTCTAGGCAAAAAATGTATGTCCTATGATAACAGCTTTGAGATGCTTTCCTCATTACTTTAGTTCCTTAGCCCTACAACTTTCCAGCCTTTTGACAGACAGAATAAGTAGCAGCACTGATGTAAAAGTGAATACTTTTATTTAAAGGCTGAAGGAAGGCTTTGATTTCAAGCTTTCATCTGGGATGAAATGTTGGCCAAAGTCACAAGAGGGGTCAAGACATTGGTCTCCCTCTTTCTTTCTAGCCTGGTCACAGACTGTCCCACTTTCCAAAATACTTCTCTTTTTTTTGTTAAACTGTGTACAGTACTTCTCAGAAATAAATAGTTGTCTCTGTCCTAAAGAATGTCATCTAACTAACACCCTTAAATGCGGCCTTGATAATGGATACACCACAGCTAGAGGGGGAGGAAAGAGAAAGCCGGGATTATAGCTGGATAGAGTCATACCAGGAATAAACTTGTCCCTCTGTGATTTGCGTTGGGCAGTGTGCCTCTGACTTGTACACTGTAAATCTGTTTTATTTATCTTTTTCTTCTCTTCACTTTCCATTTTGTGAGCAGAAGGTCAATGTAAGAGCAAGAATAGAGAGCGTAGGAGTGGGAAGCTAGTGTACTTAGCTTTGGAGGAGGCTGTTTGGGAAATGTTGCCAAACTGACGTGAATGATGCTATCTGTTCCACAGTATTGAGAGACTTACAGTGACTTCTTTGTTATTTATCAGGACAGGGAGGGGCATGTGTAAGTTAGAGAGGAAGCCATTTGTTTAACCACTTCGGTCACTGACCAGGACTAAGCAGGGAACATTTTTCTGATACAGCTATTGCTGTGATTATTTAACAAATGTTCTCATTCCACATTAGCAAAGAAACCGAGACCGTACTTTGTATTTCTGTCAATGATGGTAACAAATCCCCTAAAGACACAGTAAGAAATGAAGTGTAATATATCCAAGAACTTGGTAATGAAAGCACTCGTATAAAATATAGGAGATCCAAATTGAAATTCTTTCTCTGCCTGAGTATTTCAAACTGATGTTTGCACTAGAGCCTTAAGGTTATATCGCCTTATAACAAGGCTGTTTGCTAATCAGTTATGTCTTACTGTATGTTGGACCAGAAATCCTGCCCTGGAGCTAGGAAGCCTACCTTAACAGGCAATCCATTAGAACTGATACACTAGCAAAAAAAGCCTGTGTTTTGGCAAATGAGTATTTATAAACCAGTGTTATTGAAAAATCTTCAAGCGTCTTCGTTGCTGATGGAGATTTAATGAGGCACGTTGCCTACTGTGCATGTTAATTCTCATTGAATCAGACGTAGAGAAATGTCTGTAGACAACAGTGAAAAATAAACCAGGCAGTGTTGTCCAGACATAAAAGATATAAAGCAAACATTTCCCGGGGTGTTAATGTTTGACAGGGAAACCCTGAGGAGATACAAAAGAAAATCCTGAAAGTTTTGGTTTGCTTGAGATCAGCAGTAGTCTGGTAACCTTTGTGTAGTGCATTGTCTCCTTGGAGCCCACGTACTTTGTTGGTAATTTGTATTATCTTCGCTTACTTATTCTTCAGATGCTAGGAGCTAAATGTCAATAGAGTATAAGGAGTACAAACAACATCACAAAACAGTGTTCATCAAAAGGTGGCCAGATCTACAGCCAATTTTAATAATTCATATAGTCACATATTCTATGGTTGGAATCCAGGTTAATACATTCTGCTTATAACCATGAGCTGATTTAGCCAAAAGTGCTGAGAGTCTGTTAGCATCCTTTCTAACCCAAATGTAGTATGCAGGAGAACTTTCTTCTTCTGAACCTTACTGTACTGAATAAATCCGGAGGCATCTGAAGTAGAAGAAAAATGTAGTACCATATTTCTCTGCTTTGGTATCCTAGATGGTTTTAGTTCTCCTGGTATCAGAGGTCATGGCAATTTGGAATGTTTCAGCCTGTCATACTGGATACATCAATCGCAGTGGCAAAGCTTAGAGAGAATGGAAGAGGAAAGGCACTAACGTGGCTTGCCAAGAACTGGGAGGAAAGCAATCCCAGGGCTATTTTGTAAAGTGTTATTTTTGGTTTTGACACCACACAATATCTTCTTGTGCCTGTAAACAGCATCCCTACCAGTTGTTGTTCCTCTGACTAAGATATAAACAATGATTAGACCTTGATATGCCTGAAATAACTGACAAAAGAACCAAACCAAGGACAAATTCCTCCAAAAGCTTCTTGCTTTTATGATCAGTAAAAGAGCTTGCAGGACTCTAATGGTTTTAGGTAATTCTTGATGGATCTTTGAGGGGCTTTGTCAGCCTAGGCGGTGTAAAAAACACACGTGTCCCTATCAACTATGATCTCCCTGGTTTCCTGCTACTGAGTTTGAGTCTGTGGAGTTGGGTACTTTGAGGGATGGGTGTGAGCATTCCCTTGTCTTATGCAAGGGTGATGCTCTAAGAAAACTTCAGGTCTGCCCTAGAGCTCACACCGCTTCTTGGGATATTCCCACCTCTCCTTTCCCACTCCTGTCCTCTGCAGCTTTTAGCCTTTAAATGGAAAAGCTGACCCAGATTCTATCTGGAAGTGTCTGCTGCAAGGCAGGAGGGATTTGGATGCAGCTGGTGCCCAGGGAGCAGGACTGCTGGTCAGTACTGAGATCTCAGAAACAGCTTGGGTTGCAGACCACAAATCCAGAGAGCTGCTGGATGCTTAGTGAGGTGTGGTACTTCGCCCTGTACTGCGTTATTCAACAGGACTCAATGGTGTGTAACTTCTGCTCACTCCCGTAGCAGTGCATCACAATTTACATTTCTAACTTCTGGATTTGCAAGAATGCACTGGCTCATAGTAAATGTGTATAAGCACTTTTATTGTGAACATGTTCATTGAGAATGCTTCTCAGACAGATAGCCTGCAGACTTTTAATTCTACTGAAGGTGCCTTTGGCTTCCCTCATACGGCATCAGCTTTCCTGATGGGCCTAAGACCTATTGCTATTGTTTTGCATGTAATCACTCAAGGAATCTTTCAAAAGAGGCATTCACATATGCATTCAGAGATGTGATAGAAAGTGAAATACTCGGTGTGGTTTGTAATTGTGTTTATCTAAGTGCAGTCTCTTCCTGTGTCAGAACAGATTTTTGCAAACAAGAGGGCAATGATTCAGTTCCAGGGGAAAACTGACAAAACAAACCCCGGCTTCTGCTGACCTGGTGCAGCAGTGAGCAGGGTCCTACCCTGGGAAAATATTTCCTGCTTCATTTTCATAAATATTTATGTAATTCCTTCTGGGAAATGTCTTCTTTAGAAAACTGAACATGCTGCTCCCTGACACAAATTTAACTGTTTGCTTACCCATGAGAGATCATGGGCATGTATCCAGCCTCGGATGTTCGCATTCTTATCTCAGGCATTTCTGTCTTTCAGGGCTCTCTTTCACTCTCCTCCCAGAGATCTCATTCTGTCTTGAGCTATGGAGCTTAGTTCTGGCTCTGGAATTTGAATATCTCCATTGCTCTTTGGAGAGTTGTTATTTTGGGCTGCAGAAATAGGGACCAAATATAATGTTTTACTTGGGATCACACTTCTGTCCTGCCCAGTTATACCCTTCCCATTCTGGTCTGAGGCTCCTCTCTATAAAAAATAGAGAATCAAATATCACGTAAGCAATTAAACAGAGGATTGCATGGCTAATGAAAGTATTTATATTCAGAAACAGGCCTAAACACACTGCTGTGAGCTGAGATACAACTGCTGTGTGGTCTTTAGAGTTTGCTTTCTGAGTTTATAGTAGGGATCAGCAGCAAAGCTGTGCACAAGTCACCCCAAAAGAACAGGGATACTGCCCACCATGACAAACCAAAAAAGGTTGAAGCTGTTCCCTTTAACCCTTTTTAACAGGCTTAGAACAGTCGCTGACTTTAAAGTGCAGACTGGCAGAGCCTTGTACGAAGCCTTGTATTAGTGCAAAGCTGAGCTTTGCTTGCTGACAAGCTCACAACCCTTCCATGAAACAGTGAACTGTGTGCGGTGCTCTGGAGAAAGCCGTGTGATGGGTGGAAGGCAGTCACAAGAGATGGAAGATGCTAACCTTGTACCCAGGATAAAACACGCATATGAGGAAGTGGTACCTAGGTGATGTGCTGACCTGTAGATTTCAATACAGCATGTGTTTATCATGCAGAGCAATGACAAAGCTTTAAAGCACAAGGTCTGTCAAGTCCTACAGGATCTTAGCCTCCTGGTCCTGTCATTCAGCTGCTGTGCCTTGCATTACCCATTGGACCTTCCTGTTAAACACAAGTATTTATAGGTTATATAGATATATTATTATTGAATTTTGGTTTTATTCTTTTTCAATTCAAACTCTGCTGCTCACTTTTCAAACAGATCCAGAGCCTAACAGATCTTAGCACTTTCTTCAGCAATTTGCAAAGGAAACCCCAGCAAACCAGAGGCAGCTACCTCCACTGTAAGGTTATAAGCTCATCCAGCAAAAAGGGAAGGCGAATGTGCAAGGAAGATGAGAGAAAAGGAAACACGGTGAACAAGGAAGGATGCATGGAAAACCAGAGAAAGCTTGAAGACCTCCCTCCTAGCCCACTGGTATGTGATAATAAGTGCATAGTCTAAACCAGGGAGTTTCTGTGGTGTTGAACACCGTCAGTGGTGCCATTGACTGCTCACTGCTTCAAAGGGGCTGACTTGCTGGTCTCAGAACTCCTGGCCTTGGTCACTGCCTGAACCCTGCTACCAAATGTGTCTCAAGGAATCTGCCCCATGCAGTGAACTCTATCTTACCTCCTGAGCTCCTTCTCCGGTGTCTGGGGGCTCACAGTGTTGTGCAATGTGTACCATAATGCTGGTTTCATGTCTGTGTGGGTATCTTTCTGGCAAGAAAAAGAAAGCATTGAACCTTATTCTCTCACCTTCCTAGTCATTGTCTGGCAGACTGTTTGCTAGTGAAGGGGGGGGGGGGGGTGATGGGGGTGGCTTATTTTCTGCTTGATGGCCTAACAGAAATGAAAGAAAAAAACCCTTTCTTCAGTACATGCTCAAAAAGCTGCTTGGCTTGCTTGCTTTCTTTTTTTTCTTTATTTTTTTACCTGTTACTGAATTAATGAATTTTACTTTTTTCAACTTGAAGCTTTGTACAATGAAGAAAGATTAAAAAAGGAAAAAAAGGTATTTTTCTGCTCAATTCTGACTATTGCTAGTACCTCTGAGATGTGACCTGTGATTTGGGAACTGGAAAGCTGGATTCCAGTCCCCACTTCATAGGCATGTCTCTGAATTGTAGATACTGGCTTAGGTATATAACGTGGTGTCATTATGGCTGGGTTTAGAAGTTTAACATATAAAGCACAGCACTAGCACAGGCTGGATAAAAGGACTGCTGCGACTTCTACCATTTAGAGTAATTCACAGCACTTGGAACTACTGCTGAGCCACCCCTAGCAAGGAAAAAAGTGAGCTACAGGGTTTATAAAAAGATCTCTGTATAGTAATTACTTTGCCATTGATGGGAGCTGTTGGGAACCACTGAGTTTTCAGCATTTTTCCCCAAGGCAGAATTCCCTAAACTTCGAGTTTTTATTTGTCTTATCCCAACATAGGAAGTGGCACCTTGCTTGGGTGCTTTGCTTTTTCGTCTAGCTGCTCTCTGGCTGCAGCAATATAAGTACAGATACAGAAGAAAAGGTCATAAATCAGCACAGTATTTCTCATCACCAAAACCTGGTGAATAGTTGCGTTTAATGTGTGGTCTTTTATGACAGAAGGTATTCAAAAGAATTTACGAGTTTGGAAGTAACATTAAATCAGTTCCAAAGACAGTGTCAGACCGTGTCCAACACTGTCATTAATATATTGTGTAGCATTGTAATTCCTCCAAGGGTTTTGGAGATTCCAACTTTTTATGGGATTCACAGTCACTTTCAGTTTAAGGAGCATGAAATTGCCACAATCTGCTACGTGCTTGCAGTTTAGTCAGGGCAGCACATGCTGGGAGGAAGCACTAGATCCTGACAAGTTTTTGCCCTATGTTGTGGTAGGGACGTCTTAGCCCTTGGGCCATAACCAGCCATAACCAGTTGAGAATAAACCTGAACTGGAAAGCAGCTGGGTTAATGGTAAGAGATTACCTCTAACATTAACTAGTCCTTGGCTTTATATCACAGAAGAGATTTACCATGCAAAGCATCCACAGTGCTGCATCACAGATCAGATGTTTTCTTTCCAAAGCCCACAGCCTGATCAAAAGAATAAAGACTACACAAAGAGCAGGCAGAGCTTGAATGCAGAACACATCATTAAGAAATCTCCAATTGCTCTTCTCTTTCCTCTCCTCCTTCTTCTTGTGTCTCATATGTCCTGATCCCTTGGCAGCAAAAATGACTTCAAACAGTGGAAGAGGCTGTTTGGCTGATCTTGGAGGTGATTCCAGCTTCATGCTGTTGACATGGTCCATTAACTGTTTAATCTGTGGAGAAGCTCCATCCATGCTGTAACATCCACATTCCTGGGCTTGGATTTGTGCCCTTCTTGCCCACAGTCAGTGTGTGCGCATCATCGCATGGCTGCCCACCCTGGTACCCATACAGTAGGATGGCATGGTGCCTGCTCACAGAGGTGGGAAGCCAATTTCACAAGGGTACAGATGAGCACTGGAATTGGATTTAGATTGGCATCCTGCTTCATGTTGCCTGCGCCAATTTCACAGCAAGAACTGTTCACTGAGAACTTTTTCTTTGTAACTTTCTAGACCTAATTGATCTGAAAGTGACTTGCTGCTTGTTAGCACAAGGAAGGGATTCACAGATAGCACGTGTTTTCCTTTAAGGAGGCTCTGTGGCGGGGAATGAGTCAGTAACTGTGAGTTTTTCCCTGTGTGTGGATGCCAGTGAGTCCTCAGTGCCAACTCCCTCAGATGTGATGACCATGCTGCTGTCATGCTATGGCACACGGACAGGCACGTGTTCAGTGAGTGTCTCTCTGTGCTGTGGTGGGGAGGGCAATGCAGACACAAACTAAATGCTGAGCTGCCCTTTTTCAAGGAGACAAAGGACAAGGATTGATATTTTACTGTTTTATAATAAGACCAGGCTGGATGGGGCTTTGAGCAACCTGATCTACTGGATAGTGGCCCTGCCTGTGGCAGGGGGGTTGGATCCTTAAGGTGCCTTCCAACCCAAACCAATCTGTGATTCTACAATTCTATGATTCTATGATTCTATTATATTTATTAACTAGAGTCCCTAGATATGGCAAGCATAATGGCTTTATACCTCCAAAGATGTGCATCAACCAGCACTTAATAAGGAAAAAATAAGTAGCAGGGACACACATCAATAGAGCAAACAAAGGAACTGAGCAATTCTAAAACGAAAGCAGGGATAAGAAAATGGGAAGTTATGATTTATCTGTTATTCTAATTACATGGGATTAGAATCAGACCAGAAACATTTGCTGCTTTGATTTGGCTGCTCCTGGGACTCCTCAGCTCTTTTCTCCTAAGTGGAGCATTTCAAGTGAGCAGGATCTAGCCTGAAGAAATCCATAAAGCTATATTCATTACTTAGGTTTGCTGTTTGTGCTGATTTAAAGATTTAGCTGGTTTGATTTTCTTTGGATTAGCTGAGCTCAGGGGATCTCTCCAAAGGAACGTGCCATTGGTTTTCCATTGGTGTTTTTTTTTTTTTTTAATGTGATGAGATGCATTAAATCTTTCATGCAGGCAGTCATTAATTGTCAAAACCAAAAATACCCCTGAACGGCTGTCTGCAATTATCCACACTGTGCTATATTTGGGACTCGTATTATGGTTTCTACCATTAAGAAGGCCTCCTTGTAATGCACCATCATGGATAAAACATAGCCACAAAAATGATACATATGGACAAAATATAAGGTGAAATTATGGGTTTCTATACTGAAATGGAACTACTGATGATGCATATGCCAGACATGAGTGACACACAGAACAGAACTGTTGGTAAACAGATGGAAAACTATAAATAAGCTTAAGACGAGACATCACACATTGTTTCAAGTGACAAATTTTGTACTAAAAGAATGAAAAAAGATCACAAATCTAGACAGACAGCACTGCTAAAAGTTATATGGCTGCATGATTCATTCCCCAAAGAAATCAATGTCAGGATGACATTTTTCTTCAGTCAGTACTGGCAACTGCTCGTAATTTGGGTAAACTTTCTCTGCCCTATGAAAACAAACCATCAAACCAAAAGGTAACCACTGAAACAGCTACCACTCAACTGAAAAAAAATAGCATTTTAAACAGAGCACAACATAAAACTGCATGAGTCAATCTACCGTAAACTTTTAGCAAATAGGATGTGTCATAGAGATCAGCTTCGGTGTTTCCAAAGAGCTTAGCCTTATACAGCAGGCTTTTTAGAAACAGACTTTGCTCCAAATAGTAATTCCCTATTTTCAATAAACCCTGACTGGCTGCAACTAGTTTTTTCTCCTGATACAGAGAGCCAAAATAACTGACTTGTAAACAGGAGCCTATGGAGCTAGATTAATTACAAGGATTATGTATAGTATTCAGAGCTTTTAAACCCAAAAGGGAACATTATGATGATCCCGGCTGGCCTCCTACGTAACATAAGCCTTGGAATTTCACTGCACCATTCCTGCTCACAGCTGCTGGTGGTGATGGGAAGCTGTGTCATCTCTATTTACCTATTTCAAGTGAGTGCAAACACAACTATCCTGTTCCAGTGACTAGTTAGCCTCATTTTGTGACCTGCCGGATCTTCTGCAATGCATGTTTAGTAAAGTATATTTAATGTGTGTTCCTGTTTAAATAAACAATTTAATTTGAAGTATTTATAGCTTTCTATCAATTTTAGGCCCAGATGCAACCTAGTTCTTAATCCTGTATCCTGAAAGTTGATTTATGGCATAGTGTATTGTAGTTAAGAGAGCACCTTCCATCTTGAAGTGCTATACTTCTTACCAGTGATGTTTTTTGCACACAGCAAAAAATGTTTCTTGGTTTCCTTTCCATTAAACAACAGTCCTGAGGTCCACTGTTTTATCTTGTTGCAGCATATAGTGTTCTTGACAAACTCCACAGCTATTTAAGTTGGAGGCTTTAGTCTTACCACTGCCTATCATGTAGGGAAGTGGCTGAGATGTTGCCTGGCTGTCCTTAGTGACCTTTACTGTTCTCATTTGATGCTCCTCAGTGTCTCTCCTGAGAAAAAAACTGAGTTCAGATATTTGCAACAAAACCTCAACATTTTGCCTGAATAACCTTTCAGATGAGACAGCCTGTTTGCTTGACGAACAAAGGGTCATCTCTCCATTATCCATGGGAAGATGATTTGGTTTGCAGATCAACCAGTGCAGTGGTTACAGAGAGAGCTAAGATGGTCCTGACTGAGTCAGTTTAAGTCGAGCAAAGCTAAGGAGTTCAGGCACAGTGCCACAGTATTGCTCATGCAGTTGTTTCTGTGAACAGTTCAGGTCCAGAAGGAGTTGTGCCTGTATTTTTCTTTTGGTTGTAGTACCTCTTAACTCTGAAGAGTTGATTCTAATAGATTTCCACAAAGCATCTTATTATGTACATTTATGTGGGGGAAACAAATTCTGCCATGAATAAGAAAGCCAGGTAGCTATTTTAGTCCCACCCTGTTATGCTGGAAAGGCATGCTATGGGTTTGGGAAGGATGCATAATGCAATTGAGAAAGGATGGGAGCAACAAGGATTTCCCAAGCTACCTTTCTGTGGAAAGGAGCAAATAGGGTAAAGAGAAAAATATAGGGAAGCTACAGAACTTGAAAGGGCTTTTCTCCAGTGGGTCTTTGAATGCAAATGAATGAAAAGCATGACTCCAAGAAGCAGTTTCGCAGGTAAGTATTCAGAAAGAAAATGAAGAGTTGAAGATCTATGATGGAGAAATAGAACAGCACATTAACTTCCCTGAGTTTTGAACTAAATCCTCTGTGAATTATACAGCATGGAAAATTCAGTGTTTAAATATGAAGAGTCCAGTCTGTGTCATCACCAGAATGACATAAACTCACAGTGGGAGCGGGTGTATGTAATAGAACGTAAGAACGGATTATCAAAGGGCTTTCTATTCCAAGTCATTGTTACTCACTTTGGAAAGCAGCAAAAATACAGGGTGAATTCGCATGACAAATAATATGGTAATGAGATGTATGCAGAGGTTTCTATTAAAGACATTCCTGTGCTTTTGCCCAGCAATACAATTTTGTGTCCATAGATACAAATTTTCAAAGTTATTGTCTTCTACGCAGTTTCACAAAGCTGGGCTGTGTCTTCCCTTTGTTCCCTGAAAATATCTACTGTCATCTGTATGAGAGACTGAAAGTGCATGCTCCTGATAGTCACTTGGGGACTATCAGTATAACCTCTGTTTTGCTGTCCCGTACCTCTGTAATGCCCACTGACTGGAAAAATGAATAAACATGTCCTGTAACCGACCATTCCAGAGATCCGGAGTCATGTGGATGATCACTTGTTCTCTGTGTCTCAACTTTGTGGTGGTCTGGGAGGAAAAAAAGACCTGCCTGTGGCAACCCCCAAAGATGAACAAGTTAGAAAAATAGTTGTACTTGGGTATTCTGTTTCCTGACATCAAAGCTTCTTGGGAGACAAATGTACCATTACGTGACATTATTCTTTTTGCTTCCCATAATAACTGTGGCAGACACTCACCATTAGCTTTGTGCATTTAAAATTCTGATTCAGTCAGGAAGACCAGATATGAAAGCTGTTTGGCATTGGGATTCCTCTCATTCTGAAGTCAGTAACAGCACTTTTATTGGGTTAGTCAGGACCAGCAATAGGCACCCCATATGTGGAAATGCAGGAGGAAATTTTTCTCCAACCTGATGCTCTGTGGTGGGCTGTATCTGGTGTTGCTGTAATCATCAGGGTGGCACCTGGCACCTGCACGCCTGGGAGCCCTGATCAGATTCAGAGATGGTTTGCACCTCTCCCTCCCAGAGCTCAGGGAAGCTGGGGCACCTGGGCAGCACTACAAGCCCATGCTGGTATCTCCACTGCAGCCAGCACAGCAGGAGAGCTTACAGGGGTGCTGGAGCTGCTCTCTGGTGAAAGGGAGCTGGGAGAGGCTCCCTCCTTTACCCCAGTCTGCAAGCTCTCTCCATTCCCTCTTCCATCAGTTCTCTCCATAGCAGCAAGGTGTGCGTGGCTGGTAGCTGAGAGAGTTCAGTTGGCTTTGTGTAGCTATCACAAGCAGTCAGTGTTGATGTCCCATCGATGATGGAGAGGTGGCTGCATGTGAACAGCGTAGCCTCTCTTTAAAAACTAAATCAACAACGCATACTTGAAACTGACACTTCTTTTTTTTTCCCCTTAGGTGGAAAACCAAGTCCTCTGAAGTTGGGAAATGCTGGATATTTGTCTGTCTGGCCAACTCAAATTCAGCCTGGTGTTTGTGTGTTCTGCTGTGATCTTCAGTTGCTTTCATCATGGGCTCTTTCTTCCCCAGGGCCCTGATTCGTATGAAGTTAGATCTGGTTACAAAATCAATGCTTTGAAATTAGGAACTATCAAACCTGGGGTTTCCCAAGTATCCTCCATTCTACAACACTGCCCATCTGCCCTTCTCCATTTTGTGCCTAGACCGAACACAAAATATGAGAATTTAGACCATCTGGGCAAATGCAAATGTGTTATTTCCTAACTTCTGAAAGTCTGATTTTGTCAGTGATGCAATCTCTGAACGCTCTTTCTCTGGTGAGCAAGAAGCAGTGTAAAAAAACTATTGAATCCAATAATCTGAAAGGATAAGTGATGTGAATGGACTGTAGGTTACCAATACAGCATTACTGCACTTCTGTCACAAGCAGTCAGCGTTGATGTCCCACTGATGATGGAGAGGCAGCTGCATGTGAACAGAGTAGGCTTTCTTTAAAAATTAAATCAGCAATGCATAGTTGAAACTGACACTCGTTTTTTATCTTAGGTGGAAATAACTACTTAGGTGGAAATTTCCTTAGGTAGCCCATGACTACTGTACCCGAATCGAAAGCTAGTATAAACTCCAAAGCAGAGGAAGGAGGAAAGCAATAACGGTGGGCTGTAAGCAGAAATGCAGCCTTTGTACTTAACAGTAGAGCAGAATTGTAAGAAAGCTGGCAGATATTTTAAAATCAATAGGAAGATAGCCTCTGCAGCCCAGAAAACGAATGATGAAGTTTTAAGAACAACTGCACCCATAAAGAAGACTAAATATTATAGACACTTTTGTTTTGGATCTTGCACCAGGCTGCTAAGCTGAGGCTTGTCAAACCTACACCTTGTTTTCAGTTTTCTCACTGATCTGCTGCCTATCGCAAGTAGATCTAGACATTCTGTGTTTTGCTTAGTCACCAAGTAGGCTTTTATGGCAGATTGTCCCTTTGCTATGAATTTTCCTTCATGTGGATGTCTATGCCTAAGATTAATCCAATAATAAACAATATGCTACAATTTGCAGCCCTTATTTATTTTCCTTTCCCACAACAAATGATTTTCTGATGGTTTTTTGTATTGCAGTGCCAGTGGAGGCGAACAGATGCAATTGAACTGCTAAGCCAGAGCCCTTCCCCGACATGTGGTTGAATTGTTAAGGCAGATCCCTTCCCAAATGGCTCTTGTTTATTGCAACATGCTTGCTAAATATGACAAAGTTTTCTGCATCAGCAGTGCTTTGCTGGGTCTGAGTGTGTTGACCCAATCTCAATAAAAGCTTTCTGACACAAGTGCCCAAAGGCATGTGAGTTGCTGTTATTTGTAACTATAAACTACTGGTTAAAAGTGACTTGAGTTTTGAGAAGAGACTACTGTAAAATATTCTTTTGTCTGAAGCAGCATGGCATTTGACAGCATTTTCAGACTAAACGTGCCTAAGCACCATTTTGCTATATTTGAGTACTAAAGAAGTAACTTTGTACCTTCATGGGAAAAACTGTAGGAGATTTTTGTTTAATGGAGTATCATCAGATGGTTTATTTTTTATTTCAGCCATATGAGTGCACCCCTTGTTATTCTGGGGATACATCCACTCCTGGGCCTGGGTGCAGAGCATACGTTAAGCAGTGAGGCTATCACACTATTCTGTGCATAACAGCTGTGCAAAAGGGATGAGTCTCTACCCTAATTCTTGCCTTATGCTTCAAAACAATGCTTACAAATTATGTCTTTAGTCCCTTCAGCAGTCATACTTGGTACAAGATGAAAGTAGGTAAGTTTCCTTGCTCAGAGAAACATACCATGGCAAGTGAGGTGGCACTGCTTCCAGTGCATGTAATAGGTACCAGATGCATAAAATCCCTGCATGACTTCTACTAAACCAGCATGTAAAGTGAAGTTTGCTCTGAAGTTAAATCCCCTTAGAAAAGTGCCGGTGGAAAGGCTGCAACATCTTTATTCTACCTAATTGGGGGAAATAAAACCTTTAATCATCAGTCCAGCATCACAGCTGGCTGATTTCACAGACTGTCAAGGACAGGTTGATGTGTTCAGGCTTGAACAACCCTTCCTCATCAGCTTTATTATCTCTTACTTTCAGTTTTCACTTAGCTAAAAAGAAGATGAGCTGGAAAAATTAGTTATTTCCAGCATCTCTGTCTGTCCTGGAGAGCTCCAATAAAAATTTCTCAGGTACTGTCACTTCCCTGACAGTCTCTGGTAGACTCTCCAGTGAACCAGGAGTCTGATAGGAAGCAAGAGCAGGTTTAGATAAATTCACTTTCTGTCTTAGCCTCCCAAGCTTATCTATTAAACAAAAAATACGAGTAAATCCTGATACAGTTAAAACACAGCACCATAGTCTGTGCACCTGGCCAGCTTCTTCAACAGTTGCTCCTGCAGAGCTACCTGTTCTTTGCAGCATTCTTTCTTTTTCTTTGTTCCTTTTTCTTTTTCTCTTCCTCTTTTTTTTTTCTTTTTATTTATTCCTTATTCTTTTCCTTTTTACTTTTCTTCTCTTTTTTCTTTTCAAATTATTTGACAGTAATTACTGCAACCAACTTTTGCGCTAATTCAAGACTTTCAGACCAAACATATAAAAAAGACTGTTTCAGTAAGGTCTCTGTAAGTTTGGTCAAAGCCTGCTAAAGTTGAACCGGTAGAGCAGTTTGGTCTGGAGGTGAGTTGAAGAAAACTCTACTTTTCCCAGAAAGGTGCCATTCCAGTATATTGAGAACTGGATCATCTCTCTTGGGAGAACAAAACAGGACCAAAAGGTAAGTTTCAGCATGCCATCTTATGTAACAGTTTTGCCCCATTGTATAGTGATTTTACAGTAAAAATGAGCACCTTTAAAAATAATTCATGGAATGAGATTGAAGCAAGAGAGCTTATAGATGATGCAGCATTATGAGGAGGGCTGAAAGGCACAGGTCTGTCTGCAAGTCTCTTCACCTCATTTAATTCAGGAAGCAAATATTAAAACACTGAATGGGTAATTAAAATGTGCTGTGGTATTTTAATATGCTAGGGGTGTTCTTACTCTGATATTTCTACAGATAAGATGGACTGCAGAGAGAAATAAAAGAAAGCCATTGTCAAAACGTGGTTTAATGGATGCTGTTGAAAGTGGGATTTTTGTTTTAGATATGCTTGCTATTGTTTATCAGTGCTTACAACTCAATTCAATAGGAGAGGAGAAGATAAAATGTTGGTACACGTGCTCATCAAAAACCACCTCCTTTGATTTCCACAGGCATATGCTTTTGGCCTGCAGCTCACTAAATCTGTTGGGCATGGCAGTTTCTTTGACTATTTGATGTGGGTTTGTGGTATGCTGGGGTAGAGAATTTAATTAAGAGGCATAAACTGAACAAACATGTTCAGAATGTCTATGGATCTTTCTTTATTCATTGGCTTCCCTTTGCTTTTCTGTCTGTTTCTCATGATCTCTCCTTTTGCCAAGGTCTATAGTTCTGATAGCAAAATTTGGGGAATGTTTTTTCACTGTCTGTATTCCATCTCTTAGTTCCACCCTGAAGCAAAGTTCTGCATCTGCTATGCTTAAATTTTTGTAGCTAGTCTTGTACCATTTTTCTAGCTGCAATAGACAAAATTAATGTTATAGCCATAAGATGCATGATTAGGATTGCAGCTGTCTTCCGAACAAGCTCTTCCTTTAACATACTATATACACAGTAAAATTTGTGCTTGTAAGTAGCTCTATGTATTAGAAAACAACAGTTTCAGGCTTTATTCTAATTCTGCCTCTATGTGCATCATGCAGATGTGGTACCAGATGACCTCTGAGGTCACTTCCAAACCTGGCATTCTATGATTCCATGATTAATTTTGTGAGTGTGTTAATGAGAGAAGGAACAGTTTCTGCTGCTCAATTGCTGGATTAGAGTTCTAGCCTTAGCAAAACTGGTTATCTACAGAAGCATCATGCAGTTTCCCTCTGTCACACATTAGTCTTCTTCCAATAACTGTAATGCCTATTAATTTTTCCTATTGTATGTATGTAAGATAGATATCAGAAGGTAGAAGGAAGGTGCATCAGACTTACTGCATTATCGAACCTAATCCTTTTTCTTAACAGCTTGAGTTTCTCATAGTTAAATTGAACAAGAGCTGAGGGTACAAAGCACACCTGAAATTCATTGCAGAACTGAGATGGCATTATTCTCTGTATTGTGATTGTGATCTTTGTCCTTTCTTCTACAGGCAGATGTGGCTTTACATTCATGAATGTTAGGCCTATGTAAAGTATCTGTTTATGCCTGTATTTATCCATCTATTTATTTATTTTGTTTATCAACCATTTCTAACAACTGTTAATTACTCTGGTGCCTGTGCTTGCTTATTAAAAATGTAAACAAAGCTCTAGAATTCCATTAAATTTCTCCAGAGCTTAAACTCCAGCATTTGACACTCTTTTCAGAATCAAGTCCTTAGTCCTTCTCTTTGTGTCCTGCACTGGCATAGCAAATTTGACACTTAACCTCACCTTCCTCCACCAGAGAAATTGTGCAAAGAATATATTTCTGCCATAAAAATATGTGTTTATTGCAGAGATAAATCCCTGGAGGAGGAGTTTGTAATGGAAACACTGACTACTCCCTAAATGACTATGGAATTGGAAGACTAGGCAACACTTAACAAAAACAAGGGCATGTTTTAAAATTAGACCTACTATTCCTACGGTTATAAGGTCTACAGGAAGTTAAATGTTTCAGCTTCAACCTGGAGGCAAAGGCAGCAATGCTGTTGCTGTACTGCACTGGGCACAGACTTGTTCTGAGACCTTAGGTATATTCAGCTTCCTGAAGATCTTATAATCTACTTAGTATCAGACAGCCAGGGGAATCCTGGAAGGAAAAAGAAGTGCCACAGGAAGTGGCATTGTGATTCATAAGATGACATTCTTCACCCTGAATCACTCATGCACTGCTGGGGTGCTCTCCTGCAGGTAAATCCCAGCACTGAGGCTCTGACCACTCCATGCCATAAAACATTGGCTGACACTTGTCACAAGAATAGCAGCATCTCTCCTGGCTTTGGGCTATATACAAACTGGGTAATTACCTTACAGTTCTGATTGCTTTAATTGACTATAGTTCTTTCTTCTGTACTTACTTCCCTTTGCTCTGTGTCGTGTTGCTGGCACTGTTACAATAACAGTATTTCTAGGGGTGACTGTCTTTCTTTGACTAATGCCCAAGGAGACCTGGCTAGATTTCAGTGGTTTCTGAGTTGTTCCTTCTGTGTCATGCCTTTTTAGCTTATGACACTTTGAAACAAAAGCTGAACTGCCTTTCCTGTTTGGAAAGTGCCCAACCAACTAGGGTTCATATCCAAATAAGAATACAGCTAGCCTGAGGAACACTGGGAATTTGTGCCAGTAAATAATCTTTACATAGCATCACAGGCACCAAAGAGCACCGAGTACGATAGGCAGTAGTCACCAAAAAGCACCAAATACAAATAGGCAGTAGGCACCATTCCGACATAGAAGACATACTCCACTTGCCAGTTATTGTATTTTATTTCTAGTGCATATTCTAACACTTCCAGCAAAAATTGCCAGCCACAGGTACCTGCATCAGGAGCACTTAACACATGCTTATAAAGAATGAGCAATTACTCCTTTGCAGGTTATTTTTAAAACGAGGAAGCTCTTTCTTACAGTTATGAAATAGCACGCATTGCAATTAATGTTAAGGACCAAAGTTTGCTAGGTATTAGAAGTACAAATAAACTTAATTCTCCTAAACTTCAGTTGAATTTTTATCTGTAATGCCATAAATGCAACTGATTTGATTTATTTCCACTGGAAACTACTCAATCAAATGCAAATTTCAGAATGACTCTGAGGCTCAGAAACACCAAATATCTGCTTTCAGTAGATATTTATGGTGGCTTATAATGGAAAAGCTGATAGAACTTTAGCCATCGCCTTGCTATCAAATGCTGTTGTAATTCCAAATTAACACGCCTCATGTTATCTGCTAACTCAGCTGCTT